ATAATAATAATAATAACAAAAATAAACGAAAATTGGCCCGTGGTCAAAACGGACAATAGGATTCCACTTTTAAAATAACGAAAAAAAAACAAAACAGTTTTCGTGTAATAAAAATTTTTTGATACAATTTTTTTAGAATCTATAAAACTGTATTGCTTAAGGCAACTTTCACTTTGCAAACGCACTTAGTAAAGGAAAGAGCTAGAATAAAACTTCGAAAAAATAAATGTTATCGCAAGGTAAACAACTTGACTTTTAGCTAATTAACTAATTTTTCGCAGAAACGCGTCGTTCAAAGTAAACAATGAAAGAGTTCTCTTCCTCACCTTTTTTATGCAATTTTGTAAGGGTGTAAATGAAGCGCAGACTGACATTTAAAACTGTATTAGTACTAACTAAGCATTTCATAAGTAGGTAAGGTAATGCCAAGTATTGTAAATAGTTGGTTTTTTTTTGATGTATTGTAAGTGACGTTTGTAAGACAGTAAAAGTATTAGAAAGAATAATAATAATAATAATAATAATAATAATAATAATGATGATGATGAAAACAATAATGTAGTGTATTGTGAGTAGGTTAAGTATTGTGTCGTGTTGTAAGTAGTGTAAGGCAATGTAAGTAATTATGTGTTTAGCAATAAAAAAAATAAAATAAAATAAAAATAAGTAAACAAATAAGCTCTAAGACACCGTTAACCGTTCAATTCGACGTCGTGGTGAAAACTCGGCTTTTCGTAAAGAATCACCTGTAAACTTTTGTCAATTGATATAAACCACTCAGATTAAACGAGATATGTATACCTCTCCACCTCAAGTCAGTGACAAAACTTATCGGTACAATTTCCACCTGTATGCAGGGAGTGATACGAGTTCACAATGCGCATGCGCTTTATTTTATAAAGAAAATATAAAACCAACATCAGACAACATTGACAACTTTGCCGATAAATATATACACGTTATTCGAATGTTCAACAAATAATACCCGTGGACGTTTCAGGCTTTGCGTGTTTCAATATAATGTGTTTTAACCATCTTTTAATTTAGTTTGCCTTCAAAATTCGGTTATTCCTCTTGTCCAAAGAATTCTCCTTTCGGGCACACACATGAATTTGCATTCGTTCCCCTCCGTAGTTCTTATTTGAAAATATATTTCGCAGTATGTCCATAACAGCGCTTCGAACTTGTCTCATCTTCCAACAGTAAATTACTGGGTTCAAAGATGAGTTCATTAACATCAAGGTACCTGAAGAAATATCAAAAGCTTTAATACCGGTACTTAATTCAGAGTTTGCAACAACAGCGAAACTACAAAATTGCGGCAAATTACAGAGCAGAGCCAGTAGGTAAACGTAAAATGTACCAATGGCAGATCCTCGCAGCCTTGCAATATTCGCCATCTCTTCGCCATTTTGTGTTACTTGCTGTATTTGCAAGGCTTGAATTTGAACTCTGTGGCGACGCACGATAAAATAAATCTTGAAATAAAGCGCCGCTGAGACTGCGAGACACATTCCCCCAATAATGGCAAAAACAACGGAGGTAATATTCGTAGAGACCCGCCAGTTGAATAACGAAACAAATGCACTAAACACCCAATTTGAGATCACTGCAGCAACTACCCGCTTGTGAGTAACAAGTTCCTGGTATCTGAGGTGAAGATGAATCGCCAAGAATCTATCAACGCTCAAGGCTATTACACCAAAAAACGAGGCTGCAGAAAATAAGTAAGTGACAAAGATAAACGCGTTGCATACTGCATCAGTTGAATTGCCTTGCTGTAACCATTTGACGAGAAGCCCAAAGTAGAAAGGCTGGACAAGTAAACCAACACCAAGATCAGAGACAGCAAGACTCAGAAGCAATGTTTTCAGAGGTTTCGCCAACGAGGAAGATTTTTGAATCGCTTGGATTGTGATGCTGTTCAATATGACGGCAGTAATGATTAGGAAAGCGTTCAAGACACAGTTAACAATGTACCATGAATATAAGTCATCATATTGGGCACCACTGGGAATCAGCAATTCGTCACAAAGAGGACTTTTCATGATCTTGAATTTTTCTCAACTGTACGGTGTTTTGTGATGCTGAATATCCCCTGTTTTTGCACTTTAGGTTTTTATCTTAATTGCCTAACACGATTGAATAATTATTCAAGACGAAATTTGTCGATGCTCGTACCAATTTTGAAGATAAAGCATCTCGATTATTTAACTAAAATGCGTTTGTGATCTCTAGTTGCCATCTAAGTTCGTCACAATTAACTCCGCTGAATTAGAATAAAGCTATCGCCACAGACAAAATATTTGATTAGGGAGCTCAAAGTACCATGTCCCTCCACAGAGCAGGCGTTTCTTTCATGAGCATATTCTGTCATCTTCAGTTTTAATTACAAAATTTTAATATGTCTGCTGTTATCCAGACCTTTCACCGATTAAATAAATAAAACAAATAAAATAAAGAACAATATTTAGAGAGGAAGCCACATCAGCCTTGGCTGGTTTTCATGCGGGTTCTCTATCCTGGTCGAATTGGAATTTGATCGAGTGTTGGTTTTTGTGGAGCGAGGAAAACCGGAGAACCGAGAACCCACATATGGCACCGGGTGGGAATGGAACCCGTGCCAGATTGGTGGGAGGCGAGTGCCCTCACCACTGTGCCATCCCTGCTACCCAAAAGAAATAAAGAGAGTCATCTAAAGAGAACACGCACAGCAAAGCTACGTTCACGTCCATATGTATATTTTAATCACTTTAGACGTTCAACAAATTGACAACAACAGCATTTTTTTTTTTTTTTGTGACATGTTCTAAAAAAGCATTTTAGCTCAAGAAATGTACGATTGCTTCATTTTGCAAAACTTCGCAAACCGAATGCTTTGATTCTTTCCAACGTTGCCTAATTCGACAAAACGTTTTGCTTTAAATCGTTGGTTTCAATTTCAGGTTAAATCCCCCAGCTAGAATACAACAAAGAAAATAATATTTGACATTTATCTTATTCTGTTTTCGCTGAGTAAAGAATGGGACGTGGGTGAATTTATTCCATGTCAATCATTTCACCTGCTTACAAGTTGTTCCTTTTTTTATGCACTAATAAAAATGTTAACAAGTGAATATATGAAAGATCATATATTTGAACTACAGAGAAAGATGTGAAGACATGATTGGTCATCGCAGTTATGCACACAACGTAAGTAGCTGTAAAATTAAAGGCTGAAAAAAATTCAGGCTTGAACGGGATTCGAACCCATGACCTCTGCGACACCGGTGCAGTACTCTACCAACTGAGCTATCAAGCCAACTGGGAGCCGGTCACTTAGTGAGTTCGTAATGTACCCGTAGATGGTGAAGATGTGCTGCTTAAGCTGCGTATATAACTGCGATGGTCAATCATGTCTTCACATCTTTCTCCGCAGTTCAAATATATGATATTTCATATATTCACTTGTATTCTTCACCATCTTCGAGTATATTACGAACTCACAATGTGACCAGCTCCCAGTTGGCTTGATAGCTCAGTTGGTAGAGCACTGCTCCGGTATCGCACAGGTCATGGGTTAGAATCCCGTTCGAGCCCGAATTTTTTTCAGGCTTTAATTTCACGGCTGCTTAAGCTGTATATATAACTGCGATGATCAATCGTGTCTTCATAAAAATGTTAACAGCCCCTTTGGAAACTTGAAGCAAGATGTTAACTCCCACTATGAAAAGGATTCTCTCGTAAATTATACTTGCGAACAAAAAGGGCCCTCTACAAAAAGCAAAAGAAAATTTCAAACTCACATCCAGTTTTTATTTACGACTTTTGTTCGAGAAGAAACAGGTTTTTCATACTTCGCCAAGAGCGCGGGGTGTGACGGGAAGCGAGGCCGGAAAATAACCCTAGACAAATACCGTGCAGACCTACTTTCGTGAAGTGTATTCAAACTTCGTCATAAAATCTTCAATAGCTATTACAGCAGAAATACTGCGCAAGTTGTTTCTGATTGTTAAACCTATCTTTAGGTGACCTTGATCGTGATAAATTTGTGTATCTAAGCTTTAAATGGCTATTAGTTACAAGTCTTAATCCGTCAAGCCGAAAATTAATGCGTGATGTGAACTTCAACCAGAAGCCGTATGATCACCGACTATGTGATCTCGATACTGGACTCCCCTGTTAAGATAATGGGGCAGTTTCTCGTACCTTTTAGAGGATATGATTTGTTAACAGATTGGAACTCGGAGCAATATTCTGGCCTTTTTAAAGGGGTGGGTTACTGGGCACGATACCGTTAAAAATAATAGCGATAAAACTACAGCTTTAGAGCGACTCTAGATAGTTAAACATGCTGTTATTAACCTTATTAGACAAGCTGCAAGGTAATGTTTTCAAGGCAAAAATAACATTATTTTTTACGTTGTTTTTTGAAACCATTTGCCTCCAATCGCAAGTCGATTGCTGCACCTTCCTCAGCTGTGACTTGGGATTAAAACATACATTATCATCACCAACCTCTTAGAAACATGCACGGCAAATTTTAACAACATCTGTGCTTGTGCCTTTTTCAAGCCAGTTTCGAAGGAAAATATTCTCCAGTCGAAACGGGCAACATACTCAAATTCGAATGTGACGCCTTTACTCAGCTGTGACTTGGAAGGACATTTCGCAGTATGTCCAAGATAGCGTGTCGAATGTGTCTCATCTTCCAACAGTAAATAACAGGGTTTAAGGATGAATTGAGAAATATGAGGGTCCAACAATAATATGTTAGGCCCTTTGTAAAAGTACTTGATCCAGAGACTACGACAGCAATAAATCTACAAGTCTGCGGTAAATAACAAATCAAAAACACGAGATACACGTAGAATGTCCCGACTGCCGATTTTCTCAGCCCAGAAACATTCGCCGTTTCGTCATTCTGTGTTCCTTGTTGTACTTGGAGGGCTTCAATTTGTTCTCTGTGGCGTCTCACGGCTAAATAAATCTTGTAATATAGCAATGCTGTGGTTAAAAGACAAACTAGAGCAATAACGATAAACATCACGCTAAAGAAATCTTTTGGGATCCACAACCTTGCTAAGGAGAACAATACACTGAAGGCCCATATTGAGATCACCGCCGCCACAACTCGCTTGTGAGTCACAAGTTCCTGGTATCTGAGATGAAGATGAATCGCCAAGAATCTGTCCACACTCAGAGCCATAATACCGAAAAATGTAGGCACTGAAAACATGCCCATGGCGGAGACAAACACAGTGTACAGGGTACAAGTTGACTCACTGTTTCTTTGCAACCACTTGACCAGCAACACGACGTAAAAAGGTTGGCACAAGAAACCAACACCAAGATCAGAGACAGCAAGACTCAGAAGCAATGTTTTTAGAGGCTTTGGCAAAGATGAAGTTCTTCGCAGAGCCTGGATTGTGACGCCGTTCAATATAATGGCAGTGAGGGATAGTAAAACATTAAGGATGCAATTAACAATGTACGACGAATTTAAGGCCTCAACTTCCTCACTCTTGGGCTGGTATAGCAGTCGCAATTCGTCACAGAGAGAATTTGCCATGATTTTGAACACAGAGAGGTTTTGAATTCTTTCAATGGTAACGATCGCGTTTTGTAATATTGAAAGTAGAGATTTATCTTAAGAAATGAAAAATAAATATTTCTGATATCTATTTTACACGTCTTTTAAAAGTCCATCAAAATTAAAATAAAGCTATGGCTACCACACAAAATATTTGTTTTGACGTGCTTAAACATTTTACGTCTTGGCACTAAGAGCAGGTGGGCCAGGCCTTTATCATCGAAAATCTTAGCTTATTTGAATATTTCTTTTCTTTCGCCTGCAGAATAAAAGCCATAGCTTCCAAACAAAGAAGAAAAGTCGTGCATGATGTCGGAGAAAGCACCAAAGAAATGAACGGTTTTTCATTTCCTTGTCTTTGAGCGAGGATATGTTGATTAATTTCGAATATTGAAAATTAAATTAGGCAGAATATTTACTTTCGTAACAGACAAACGAGTTTAATGTGAAGTTAAACAAAATCCTTTTTTATTATTATTCTTAAACTAATACACAAAACTCGCTGCAGGAAGATGAGCTTCTGGAGTCGACTTGACCGTATTCTCTTACAGTTGTTTTAATGGAATATCCTACGCAAGCTACCGTTAGTTGTTCCGCAATTAGTGCATTGTTAATTAGCTATGGTCTAACTTCAAATCGATTCTTAATGGGGCATCTAAAACTTATAACTTTATTTCTTGTCTCCGCTTGGTTTTTGCTGCGATTCAAATAAATTATTCCACCCACTGCGAGCTTTTCTAGAGGGGCCAAACATTTCTGCGACAGCTTTGCGAAGATTTGGCGACTTAGGTTTTGTTTGGCGGCGTCTGTATGTCGGTAACTACGACTAAGGTAAACCTAACAAAACTAGCATTTAGTCGATGCTGCCAACAAAGGAAAAGGAACAAAGGTCGTGGAATATCTCTCGTCTAAATAAATGTATACTACTCTTCTCAGTAGACCGCGACACCCAAGAATTTTTTTGCCGCCTTCAGAGTAACATTTTTGATGCCGCGAGTTTGTTTCAAACCAACCACGTGGTACATTGAAATGCACCACGTGAGGACATTTTTTCTGTGTGGCGTCATAACTTTTTCGTATTACGTGATGTTCATTCACAACGTGTTTATCTTCAAGAGGAAAGCTTATCGTGTCGAATGCGTCTAAAAAAAACCGCTCCGAATTTGTCCTGATCATATTTTATCTTCAGCTGATAAATAGCGGCCATGCGGACAGTTCTATGGCAGACAAAAAGCGCGGTAATCTTTCTGTTAATTGAGGACGAATGAACATATAACCGAATTTTAAGACTTTATGAACTAGAAGCGAAACTTCCGCGTGACACTAGCTTTTGATAGCTGAACAGAGCGGCGGCCATTTTGGATTTGAACGTCTGAGGAGATACTAGGAATGCAGTTGACTCGACATGTTTTATAACGAACAGTAACAAGCAGCGTTGTGCGCCGGTTGGTTTGGTTGATCAAATGTTTCAACCAAAATCAAACTCGGTTACACTTTAGTTGATTTGGCTGAGGTTTCCCCTGATATGGTTGATCAATATTGAAGAACCATTCTAACAAATTAACTAAAAGAAGGTTTTTTCGCCGTACAACACGAAGAAACCAAACAGACTCAGTTTATTCCGGCAGGACCCAGACGAACACGACCAAACGGTTATAATCAACCATTTCCATCGATCGAAAATGGTTGGAGCTCGTCTCCTGTTGTCAGAAATCATCAGAACCCTTTGTGACAGAAAAAAACAGGTCCTGACAAAACACGGGAAACCATCCAATAAACTTACCGTAAGTGAAAATTCCAACTTGAATCATTTCTTTGCGACACAGGCTGCTCAAAAACCTGTTGTGTATGACGACCCTTGACTGACACAATTTTTCCTCCCTTTGGACAATAGCCTCAAGTAACAAGGCTTTAAGCGTCTTAAAGATAATTTGCTAACTTACCAGAGATTCTGCCCTGGGTGACGCCCCAGACTCCACCAACAGTTTAACGACTTCAACGTGACCCGCCTCGGCTGCCATATGCATCGGTGCATAGCCATTCTAAATCAGTGGAAAGAAGGACTTGTTTTTTGGGTGACATTGCAAATTCTCCCAGCAAATAGTTTAAAGAATATGGACATCGCTAAGGAGAATTAGCGACGACACGATAACACACGGAACCGAACACCCCACGAGTAATAAGGGGTCTTCTTATGGTGAAGGGTCTATGACTCAGATCCCTAGTTCTAATCACTAGATGAAATATATATGTAACAGTCCCAAATTCAACTCCATCCGCTGGGATGTTTAGCCATAGTTTCGTACGAAAAGAATCAAGGCTATTGAGCATAACTTTCACGTGGTACTTTTTTATGCTGTAAAAAAGTGATTAACTTTAAGTTCTGTGGATGACACCGTAATGTGTAGCAACTGAAATGAAAGCTACTCAGCAGTTTTATGTGAGACCGTTTATTATGCAGTTTAAGGTGGTTCGAACTTTTAATACCGTGGATGAAACCCTACTAACAGGAAGCTAAATAACTTTTATTTTTGTAATTAAGGCCTGATGTTTATCAATTCTATTCCATTCCATTCCATTCCATTCCATGCTATGCTATACTATGCTATTCAATTCTATTCAATGTTACCTCATCAGGCGCGTTGATATCTGCTCCCTGTCCGATCAGCTGAGAGATCAGTTCTCTATGTCCATTGGCGGCAGCCAGATGCATGGCTGTTCGTCCAATCTTGTCCTTAACGTGGAGCTGTAGTGTTGATTTACTTAACAGAATGCTAACAACCTCAGAGTGACCATTCTCTGCGGCCAAGTGAAGAGGAATGGAACCCTACAATGGCGAGAAAATTAACATGCTAAGGTTGCTAAATTTAAAGTCATTAAAGATCTGGCAATGTCCTTTTCACTACAATGCATGCTTTGCTTTCGGCAAATCAAGCCAAACTTTTGCCATCCATGGAGATCATAACCTTGAACAATTGAATGTTTTGCCTTTTGTTCACAGGTTGTTGTTATTGTAAGTTTGTCAGAATGTGTTATTGTAATCGGGCTGGGTGCAGAAAATGCTTAGTTATAACGAAGTATTTCAGTTTTAGATCACATTGTGCCTCACTTCAACATTTTAGGCAATTACGACATTTTAAGCAACAACGACATTCAATTTATTACCTCTTTTTAAAGCAACAAACGGTGTTTGAAGTGTTGCAATAAATGGGTATGGCACTGTTTTTTTCAACAACTGAAAATCTTCATGATTCTGTATATGTAAAACTAAAGAGAAGATGAAGTAATCACTCGTAACGACTGATTGGCGTAACAAACTGTTTGACGTCGGTTTTTCCTTTATGACGATAGGTAAACAATACAGAGCGTCCGCTCTTACCTGCACGGCTGTTGCCGAGTCCACGCGCACTCCAGGCGAGTTCAGCAGTATTCGCACGACACCCACGTGACCAGACTGTGCGGCTAAATGTAACGGAGTGAAACAGTACTGCGGGTGCAAACAAAAAAAGATTAGAAGCAGAGGGCTCCAAAGACTACGCCAACAAATGGCGCTCAATTGAGTCAGAAATAAGTCCATTTTGAGATAAATTTCAGCGTCAAACATCCAACCACAGTCAATAAAAACTAACTTACGTCCGAGCGTGGTCCTTTTTCACCGTTATCCACCATTGAAGGAGACTCGCTTTTGATTGTCCCGGACACCTTTAGGAGCATTTCTCTGACTACTTCGATCTGACCGTACTGGGCGGCCACGTGAAGAGCGGACAAGCCAGTCTACAAAACAACAGGTAACAAACAGTAAAATAAATACTGAATCACAAAAACTATTGCTGGACCAGCCAGTGACCCACTAGCTGTAAGGTCGAATGGGGTGGGGGGGGNAGAGAGAGACGACGAGCGAGAAGAGGGGGGAGGTGAAAAAAAGAGTAGGGATAGAGTAAGAGGTAGACGTAGGAGTAGAAGATAGCCTCAGGGCAGAGATTTTCAATACCCTGTCTCCTACAGTGGAGCCTGTTCAAAGGTCAACGCAGCGAGCTAACATAGTAAGCCAGATCTAGAGCAGCTACTTAAAAAAATCGTCACATTCGTAATCCCATTTTTGATGGGTTAAGGTAACTTGCCCCAATAATGTAAAGGTTTCCATTTACACTTCTGGGTCGAGAGAGGCGCGGCCAAGCTGAAACCAAGACCTATTTATCCAACGTGCAAACCATTCGGCCACCGAGCCCTTCAATAGTACTTCTGATATCACTCTTGTAGCACCTGTAAAAAACGAGCTCACTAAAAGTAAGGACCCCTTAATAGTAACGCGCTTTCCGAAATTCGAGAATCATTCAAAAGTTTCAACCTCTGCCAAGTTCACGAGCCCAATGAAACTTAAGAAGTGCTTTTGTCCCTGTATACTCCAAAGTGCAATCTGTCCTTGCGTTCCGTTTATTTTGCAAGTATTTTCGTAAGAGGTAAGTCGGAGGTTAAATTTAAAATTCTCCTAACCTTTACGCTTGCCATGCTCCAAGGAACTTTCCCGCGCAAAACCTCTAGCACGTCCACGTGACCAAACCTGGCTGCCAGATGAAGAACTGTCATCCCATCCTATTGAAGAAAACAAACAATAGGGTTGAAAACGATGCACGTCGATTTAATTAATGAGACGTAAAAGTTCATTGGTCTGCGCCATTTCTCTCGCATTTTCTAGTCTCTTCCTGTGGTAAAAGGAAACTTAATGATATCAAAAGTATGTTGCCCTCGAGTTGTGTGACCATCTTCACTCTTAGCTATAGACGGTGTAAGAGCGGGGCTGGTACTTACCGCATCTTCATCACTTGCCGAGGCTCCGTGCGCTATCAACACTTCTACAACAACTTTATGACCACCGCTGGCCGCCAGCAACAGGGGTGTGGCAAATTTACGCTGTAAAAAAAGGAAAATTGGAATGGTTAAGATTCCAAGATTGATAAATCTTAAAGGAGTAGGGATTATAACGAGTTTTTTACTAATGACTCTAGGAAATGAAACAATGCTATCGTTACCTTGTTTCTTGCTGTTGTAATTCCTGAAGGGTTGAATTTCAAGAGTTCTGTCATCACTAATACACTGCCTTTCATCGCTGCGATGTGAACACAGGTGCTGCCTTCCTGTAGAACGAAGAAGTAAAGGAAAGCTGTAACAACCATTAACTTCCCTTTGACTACCAATGTTGTACTATACATGAAGCCCAAGCTAGCACTCTTGAATTAACTACCGCACCGACTCGCTGCTTTCTTACCGCGTTTTGTTGCATCATGACTCCAGGTTTACGATTCAGGAACAGCGTCACTACTTCGGAATGATCGTTTTGTGCGGCGTAATGAAGAGGAGTTTGTCCTTTCTGTCAACAAGACAGACAAGGTTAAAGTCGTACAAACCGTTTTTCTTTTACTGCTCATAAAGAAATAGAAATCGTTGTAAAGTTCTCTAGCAACCAACAGAGCAAACACAGTGTTTTGGAAGCAAAGCTGAAAACATTTGTGGCTTAACTTAGGCGCTATTTCCTGCCTGAAGCGCCTGTTGCACGTTTTCCCGTCCATGGCACCTTCTGCTCGTTTTCCCGCGCTTTTCACCGATTGTATGTTTTAACTTTGAATTTTGATTGGTCAGTTGTACAATTTACATTTGTTGTGATTGGCCTGTTGCGATTATTATAGTTTTTGCTTGACAATATTCAAAAGATACGTACTTTATGACAGCCAAACGAGAATAGAGTCGCGGGTTCGAAAGTAGTTTTAGCGCGTGCACGTAATAAAAGACAATGATGTTGGCAGGTACTCACGTTGTCCAACGCACTGATGTCAGCTCTCAACTCTAAAAGATGCTCACAGACCTGCAGTCGACCCTTCTCCGCGGCTAAATGCAGTGCTGTCTTCTTTTCCTGTAGACAGAATGCTCTCGTTAGCCTAAGCTCAAACATTGCAGACAGGTTGAGAATAGTGGAGAGTACCGGAACACAAACTCTCACCAGTGTGAAGGCGTCCACACTTGCTTTGTAACTGGCGACTAGAAGACCGACTAGCTCTTTATGACCGCTCTCTGCCGCCAGATGGAGAGGAGTGAGTCCCACCTATAAAGAAGAATATCTCTTGTGAGTAAATAGGAGGAGAAATGTAACAATCTTCGCTGTCGTTGATTTGTTTAATGCAATCTAATTGTTGCGCAGTCCTTCACACCAAGAAGAAGAATAGCTTGTCAAAGAAAAATGAGCAATAGTCAGTAAATTATGTGGGAGTGACCATCGTTCCTGAAAAATCCTCGTTAAAGTGGGTAATAGACATGATGTGGCCTTATTTGTTCCATAGAAGTTTTAAATGCTTTGTTTTAAACTCAACATCTCAGACGATAAGACTTCTAAAATAGCAACCCAGCTCGTAATCCCGTTCACACTGTCAGCGAAACTAAGCTGTCGTGTGAACGGAGCATATGTTATGGAGAGAGATTGTGGATTTACCTTGCTTTTAGCGTTCACATAAGCTTTATGCTCGAGCAATTCCTTAGCCACATCAAGATGGCCTCGTTCAGCGCACACGTGTAGAGCAGCACGGCCGGACTGACAACAAGAAAAACAGGAAAAACAAGATAGTCAGGTGTTAGTTAAGTTCCAAAGCTTCGCTGCAAAATCACGAATATTATATTGTAACAGTAGGTACCTCATCAAACACATCAACTCTGGCATGGTACTTAATCAGCGTGCGAACGACTTCGACGTTTCCTTTGTAAGAAGCCACAAGCAAGGGCGAAGAACCACTCTGAAAAAAAAGATGCCACTTCCTTTAAGACGCGAAAAAAACAAAACTCGGTGATTATTACAGATATACAGTCAACTCTCTCTTAACGGACACCTCTATAAGACGGTCAACTGTATAAGACGGACACCTAGTGCTGGTCCTGGCCGTTTCTCAGTCATTTTACTATAACCAAACTCTCCATAAGACGGACACCTCCATAAGACGGACAACAGACAATTTGAAATCGTCAACGGACACTTGTGAGGTGCTGAATGTGACATCCTTTTAGACTTGGTGCCGCGAAAGACAGTCCTGAGTCACAAGATGATTATGTTCCCGTCTGCAGAATGTACTGTTCACTGTTTGGCCGGACTCTAGTTAACCCTTTAACTATTGATTGTAATAGGACAAGAGATTCAATTTTATAAATATGTTTTAGTTCCAGTTTGTAGGTTTCGTTCAAGTAAATAGCTTAAAACAAACTTTAAACAGACGCGCATTCACTGTGTACAGGTTTAGCATTATTATCTTAAAATTCCTGGGGTCATGTTACGTCGACTCTCTACAAGCCGGACACCCCTCTAAGACGGACAGCTGAGGCCGGTCCCAATGGTGTACGTCTTAGAGAGAGTTGATTGTATTACAGCTTTATTACAGCTTCGCATAAACAGGTTGAAAATTTGTATGCGTAGACCTTCTTGCTGATTACTTAAAATTTTTTTAAGTAATCAGCAAGAAGGTCTACGCACTTTACAATTTAATTGTAAAGGGCCTCACCCTCGGCTTTGATCACTGACACATAAACAAAGTCATTATCATTGTAACAGCTTCGTCTAAAACATTGGTGATACGAGTAGAGAACACGATCGCTTTCGTGAAGTTCCGGGAGAAGCCGAATAAAAATTAATTAACTTTAGCGATTTTCCCGCGCTTTCAAGGGCTCACAAATTACTGCTGCAAGTTCTGAACAGTACATAACGCAATTACTTTTTAATGCAAATTAAATTTGTTCCGTGGATATGGCGTTTCGATCTTCGGTTTTTCTGTTTTTGGAACAAAGGAGAACTCTCATATTGTCTTAATGGAAATACGTCGCTGGGCATGCGCAGTGTATAGTTCTGATCTACTTCTTACCGATGATCGCTTATTGACCGTGGCCTGCAGCTTGGAAGGGGGAATGGACTCTAGTAACGCGATCAAGATGTCGTTATTTCCTGAGCGTGCGCACTCGTGGATTGGAGTTTCCATGGACTGCAATAAACAGAATCAAAACTGTCATGACATGCAAAAAGATTAACTCTACTAGAGAGTGTGTTTGTTATAATGATTGAAGTGCGTAAATGAGCCATTCTCGCCTCCTAGCTCTTCGCGTCTGACACCCGGCTAAGAGACGCGACGAGAGCCATGGGAACGAGAATTGCGAATGAGCACGCGCATGCGTGAGTAAAATACGTTCGTGTGTCACCGAATCAGAGAAAGAGCGAACGGCATCCTTTAGATTCCAAGATAGTCTTATTTTGCTGATTGAATACAACTGATGGCGTACCCCACAATTACTCAATCAATGCAACAAGACACATTTCCATGCTGATTACATGGACATTGACCCTCACCTGGTGAGTGACCGCTGTGCAATCGGCACCGTGTTCAAGGAGTAGTTGGACGATGTCAATATCGGCATTTCCTTTAACCTTTGACTTGGAGAGCTGGGCTGAGTAATGAAGAGGAGTCTCGCCTTTCTGCAATGTATCAACCCTTGTTAGAACTAAAGCTTATCCTCGGCAACCCCGTTAATGGCTTTTTTAGAGTAGTAGGGTGGGGAGTGGGAACACAAGGGGACCTCATAAACACTCCAGTGCAAGCAAAAGCAGCGTACAGGCCTGTTGGAAAGCTTAAAAAGGTTCAGGTCCATTGCTATCCCAGGGAACAGAGGAGACAGATAGTCATTAATCTTACTACAACAAATGAAGTTCTTGACTTGACAACAAGCACTGCGAAAGATAATATTCAACCCATTCCTGCTTGAAATTATATCTGTATTTTATTATATCTGTGAACTTCTGTGTTAAGTAATGCAGTAGAATGGAATGGAATGATGTCAAACACGAAAGACCATGTTTGACCACAATTCCAAACACCGAGAAGAGAGTTGAAAATACAACGCGCAGCGGAGTATTTTTGACAAACTTTGAGGTGTTTGGAAATGTGGTCAAACACTGTCTTGAGTGTTTGATATATCTTCTCAAACGAAACTTAAACTGAGGAGAAAACGAAGTAATACAATCATAGAAATCTATGTTAATTAAGATCATATATTAAACAGATATTTAAACATGACCGTCATGGTCACCAGTTTGTGAAAGTGTTTTATTTCTCACGTTATGTTACCCACATCAGTCGGCATATTGATGACTAGCTTGGCCACAGCTTTAGACTTCACTTGGAAGAGAACTCGGATCAGTTCCTCCAGAACAGAGTAGTGTCCAGCACGGATGGCGTGATGTAGGGCAGACTCACCATTCTACAAAACAAAAATATTTACAACGTTGTTACAATAGCGGCTCTATCATTAAGTGTGCGAGGACATCGTGCTGCAGACAGGTTTAACTACTCGGTTATCGCAGTCTAGTTCCTTGCCTAACGTCCTAATCGCAACAAAATACCAGTTTTTGACAGGTTCTATGCACATCTAATGACTACGTAATTTGTGATCCCCAGGAGTTAGAGCGGACCAGAGCGGATTTCAATTGAGTGTCGTAAAACCAAAACCAAACCAATTACTTACCAATTAGACTACTTAGCCAATCTCAAACCGTAGTAAAACCAAACCAAAACCAAAGTAATTGCCTGATTACTTCTGAAACTCAATTTAAAACCGCTCTATACAACTCAGCAGCTGCACGTTTCCCGCGCTTTTCCGCGCTTGCAGCCCGCCTTCCACCGATCCCAATGTTTACCCACGCCGGCCGCGCTTCCCTTTTCATTGCTTACCGATTGTTTTTGCATGTTTCGAGCTCTGTTTGGCAGGTATCAGACACAAATAAAAGTTAAATGTAAATTTAGGACTTTTTGATCTTCAGTTTACTGAGGTCTGCTAAAATATTATTCTTTACTGCTTTAGGAGAAATTTATGAAATTTATGTTTTCATGATTACCTTCGCCCTCCTTGCAGTATCCGCTTTCTCGTTGATGAGCAGCTTTAACACTTTCAAGTTTCCAAAGCGCGCTGCAACGTGCACAGCCGTTTCTCCATTCTAAAGAAAAAGCAACCCATGCTATTGGGAAGTCTTGACATTAAATTGTACCACATTGCACTGCATTGCGTTGCATCGCATCGCATTACATTGCATTGCATTGCATTACATTACATTACAATATTGAGCACTGCTAAGAAACAGCAACATAAACTCTCTAAAAGCAGGCTTCCATATCCAACGCAAAGATACTTAAGCGCCATATGGTCGCAGACCTCTTCTAGGGAACAACAAAGTTATATTAAAAAATTTGGCGCCCAAATACAGTAAGGAGTTGAACAATGAAAATCTAGGAACTCGATATATTGTTAGCGATCATATGGAACCTGGCATTAAATGCGTTTCACATATTTATACATTACTCAGCGATCCACTGCAAAAACACATGAGTGGAAAACTCAATTCTGCACGGGTTTTACTGGCTAATAAGACGTCTTCCCTAACATTCAGCTACAAGACAGCCAGACTGAATGAATTCAAACAATCGAGACTGAGATTAAATGCATCTATTTGAAGACCTTCTTCGGGCTTTCATCTTGCCTCATCTCTCTTTATGTCTCTGATGCATGGACAAGGAAAAAGAAGACTGTATAGAAGGTTTAAAACGTGCTTTTCAACTGGACAAGTTTTTGAATGTTAGCATCTTAAGTGGAGAAATGATGCAGCTTTAATAAGTGTTTCGAATACTTTCCGTTTCGCCCAAGTGAAAGAAAAAAAGGAAAAGAGTATGAGGCAGGTTTTTCCGCAAAACAAGTAGCTACACTAACATCACTCGGTGCGTTAACATCCGCTCCACTCTTGATCAGCATCTCTGCCACTTTATCCCCATCTTTGATCCGCGCTGCAATGTGTAACGGCGTCTCCTCGGCCTGCAATAAAAATTAAAATGGTTGAATTCTTGTCATGAGAAATAAAAAAGAAGGGAATGCCTTATCAAGCAGATCACTGAAGTGCCACTATAGTTATTTATGGCTGCACGCGACAATTGTGAACTCAGGACAAGCCAATTCCTTCAGGAGCAGTGGAAAAAAGTCTCACCTTTCCGCCTCTGTGCTGAACGTTAGCACCGTATCCCAGTAATATTTGGACTACTTGTGGTTTGCAGTGCTTCACGGCGATGTGTAGAGCGGTGTATTGGTCCTGAGAAAAAAAAGAAACACATGAACAATACACACAATGAACTCTGCGCGAGTTCGCATCAATAACGCAGTGTAAAATCTTGTTTGTTTGCTTCCTCCTTACTATAGGCCGTTCTCACACGAGGTCAAGGCAGCCATATTAACAAAACATTTAAACCAACGGCGGCCACACTTTCTTTTGTCCCAATAAATTTACATGGCGCTGGACACGTGAGTTCACACTCTCGTAACAGTTTCCAGAAAGCAAGTGAGGAGAATAAAGAAAATCATCAATTGAGAACAAGCAGCGGAGCCTCACTTTTGTTTTTGTGTCCACAGTGGCGCCCTTTGACAGCAGCGCCCTAACGACACCCACGTGACCTTTTCTCGCCGCAGCATGGAGACACACAGCACCGTCCTATGAGGATAACAACAAACAAACAATTAAACAGTTTGTAGTCATTCAAATAAAAAACAATCGAGCAATGCTTTCATAAGCGGAACTGTTTATCATACTGTAGAAGGTTGTTCTAAATTTTAAGGCTATACATCAAACCCTAGTGTGTGACCATTCAAATGAAAACGATTGAGGAGTGCTTTCAAGTGGAACTGTTTATTATGCTGTACAGGGTTGTTGTACCTTTTTAGTTCATGGATGAAACCCTAGAGTGTTACCATCCAAATGAAAGCTGTTGAGCAGTACTTTCATGTGGTACTGTTCATTATGCTGTACAAGGTGGTTCTACCTTTCACGTCTGTGGATGAAACCCTGGTGTGTGACCATTCAAAGGAAAGCTATTGAGCAGTACTTTAATCTGGAACTGTTTATAATGCTGTACAAAGTATTTTTAACTTTTAATTCTGCGGATGAAGCCCTAGTAGATTCTGTCTGTCGCGCTGCAAAAATGATTCTAACTTCTAACTGGGAATTGAACCTTGGCGCATGACTAAATAAAATTTCCTTTCTATCTTTAAAAGAGGATACACTCTATTTACCTTGTTGGGCATGTGGAGTGGCACACCCTTCTTGAGGAACACTAGTGTAGTGTCGGGGTGTCCAGCTTGTGATGCTATGTGCATTAATGTGCTGCCATCCTAAAAAATAAAAACAAACGTATTAAAATCTTACAAAGTATATAGTTTCTCCAAGCTATATTCTTTTGTGTTAGCAATGTGGTTATCCTAACAAGTTACTTGTACTTACAGGACAAAAATAACAGCATAAATTCAGTAGCATTTCCACGTAAAAATTCCATACCTTTGTTCTCAAATTCACGTTTGCTTTCAGCTTGTCCACTAAGAACTCAGCTACGACTGAGTGACCTCTTTGAGCCGCCAAGTGTAGTGGCGTGCGGTCGTGCTGTTAAATGAGGAAGAGAAGAAAAGTTGGAAGCGAAGTTAAGGAGTGGAGTTGTGTCAAACAAAGAAAATATTTGGAGAATCCTATTCTAGAAATGACAGAGACAACTTTCATATACGGTATGCCTACATTACAGCTTTGTTTGTTGAGCTCTGCAATTTCGCAGACGACAAACAACGCGCTCTAACCAAAGAGAGCGAAGAGGTAATCTTTTCGGCCAATCAAGTCTAAGATCAAAATGCTCGTTAACATAACCTTCCCCGTCTCTGAGCGATTTATGGTTCAATGCATTCCCGAGCTTAGCAAAAGTCACATTTTTTACCCACGCTTTTCACCTGTTACACTCTACCGCCCTTTCCACTGGGTTGCACGTCTTTGTTTCCAATTCTGATTATTTTATTGCACGTTTTGCCGCCATAGTGGTTCACTCTGCGATGATTTTAGTTTTATATCTGCTATAAAGACGAAAATGCGCTTTGCCCACGCCAATTTTTGCTCGCATTAAAGGAGCTACCTCACAATTTACGCATTACAGTGAAAAGTTGAGCCTAAATTTACCAAGTTCGTCGTTTCTAATTCGTGTTAATCTTCGCCATCCTTAACCATCCTTTTTGCTTTATGGTTTATTATTATCTCTTTAGTGTTTTTCTATCTTCGTAAACTACTATTTTCAGGTTTCCTTCAATTTAAAAGTAATTTTTTACGTGGCCAAAATAACTCAAAATGCCGTGACTGAACTCCTTTAACAAACAAAAAAACAAACACTCACTGAATCGGCGATGTTCGCGTCGACGCGAGTTGTTTGAAGAAATTTGATCATTGCCTCATCTCCTTCATAAGCAGCGATGTGTAGGGCCGTCTGTCCCTCCGCCTGTTCAGGAAATAACAGATCCAAGATAAAGCTAATTAAGACGCTTATTGGCTAAAATTGCAAACAAGACAAGGCAGTTTTTGAAGTTACGTTTTGCACATCGACGGGACAGCCAAATTCGACAAGAAACTTTGCAATGTCAACGTCTTTCTTTCGTACAGCGGCGTGTAACACGGTGTCTCCGCTGGCCTGAAAGAGATCATTAAAAGATTTGTATAAGTAATCGTAGAAGAATAAAACTAAACTAAGCACGTAGTAACAAAACTAAGCCTCGCATATGGAGACGCTGGTTTCATTATGGAACTAGTGTGGAGTTCGGGACCAAACCGCAGTAAGAGTCGGGCCATAGAAATTTACTCTGCTTTCCAAGTGAACGGAAGAGAGCTTACTCTTATACGACATAAAATCTTTCTTTTGGACGTAAATACTTTTTCCTCACACGAGCTGGCGTTTTCTGTTGTCCTTTTCTGTAGTCTGTACTACAAAGAGATCAAATACCTTTGAAAAAAAGCCCTTAATTTTACCAACTCTTGTTAATCTTTGAAAAGGCTAGCCTCTGCTTACTCTCCACTCGCGCTCTGGCGCTCGCCATTTTTCTTTGCTCTATATCCCATCAGCAGGTCTTATTAAAGGTTGGCTCTTACAATCTAATTACTCGACCTTCTAGTTTATAAGAAGATTAAACAAAAAAAAAAACTCTCAACAAGGAAGGCAAACGCGACAGGACACGGAATTCAGAACAGGATTTTATTTCAACTTCCGTTGCTCCGTTCTGGGCTTCCCTGAAATAAGTACCTACCCCTCGGGTGATCTTGACTTGTTGTTCAGCTTGGGAACCAAGCAGCTCTTTCACGACTTGTTGGTTTCCTGCCACGATCGCGAGGTACAGTGGGATAGATCCACTCTGGAATTACAAATAACAGTTTGTTGCCTTCGTAAAACCCTCATACCTATTGCTGTACTACCCACAAGCGCTTGCAAGTTGTGAGAAAAGCAGTGACTACATGGTCGAGAAACTTCGCTCCGATCAAGTTCTTGGTGATAAATATCCTAAGCCACTTTAAGCGATCACTTTCGAATTGCGGTCTTCTAAATTAACTTTGCAGATCACAGTGCTCAGTTTCTAAACCCTACCTTTCTACTTTAATTTTGAACAAAAAGGAACTTCAACTTACTGAACTCGACTTAAAGGGACACCGCCACCATTTTTAGCATGATTTTGGAAATCTCATATAAAAAACATATATCGATCATTGGAAGCTGAACAATAATGGTTTTATTCTGTAGAGCAGTACTCGACAAATGATTAGGACCCATTAGGAAGTGAGGATGGCTAACGATGGCGAGGATGGAAACGGATTGTGATATGGATTTTTGAAAAAGCGTCAGGATGTCAGTTTTTTAAAGGTTCAAGTTTGGCTCGAAAACCGTTGAAATTTTGCAAAAATGTTGCCGTAGTGTGGGACTTTCTTTAAAAAATTGCTTTTAATCATTTAGTTAGAGCTAATTGGGGACCATGTCGTGGATTTATAACAGTTTTAAGCAAATATATCGTGACAGTGTCCCTTTAAGGTGTAGGGCCTGATAGCACATTTGCGGCATTTCACTCGAGCTCGGTCGACAAATAATTTGAGGTAAAAGATGACCAAGAACGCCAAAGATACGTCAGTACACTGCACAGTTTGGACATAAAAGTGCTTATTATGTTCTCCTTTTTTTCCTTTAGATTCTTGGATTACTTATTCATCGACTTTCGGATTATCAGACTCACTTTTAACCTCCTTTAATTAAAATTGGCGTGATGTGTGGAGGGGAACAAGCACTCGTTGCAAAATGATGCCTGTCTCTGAGTAGTAATCGAGTCAGCGGTTTTCGTCATTTACTTTGCTAGGCAACTTGAGGTCCACTTCTAGAGTGACAGTTTTCGGAGCATTCGTGGGTTTTCGCTCTAGTTCTCAATTGAATAAGGAAAGTTTTCCAGTTCTTCAACAAAGATTTTCAAAATACGACACTTGTTTACAAGAATGAGTCAATTTTTTTTACTCACTTTGTCACTTGTGAGTTTGGCATCCTTCCCAGACGCTTTTAGGAGCGTTTTGACAATCTCCACGGCGCCAGAGGGGCGGCTGCAGGCCATGTGCAGCGGCAGCTGCTCTTCAGGCTGAAAAGCAAGTTGAGATTCGAACATCAACATAGTTCCTCATCCCAAGAATATCCATGACGAAGTCACTCTACAAAGATCTGTGTTGTGTTCTGGTTGGTTGTCGCTTGGCGGGTTTCCAATTTTCGCGCGCAAATGACAAGTAATAAGTGACATTGCACGCATTTTTTCAGGGTTACGTCGTAAATATGAAAGAATAATGTCTGTTTATACGTTCAAAATAACGAGCATAACTTCGAAAAGTCAAAACCAGAAAGACATAATTTATTGATAGAACCCTAAAAGTCAGAGCAAAAGAGAACTTCACTCGACTTTAGATGCAGACCACCTGCCAACATTTTAGGGGAGGGGTGGGATTATTATATTTGTTTTCTTTTCACATCCTTACCCCTGCTGTGAGACTCGCATCCGCCTTTTTCGAGAGAAGAAGTTTGACGATTCCGTCTGAACCAGAGGAAGAGGCATAGTGTAAAGCTGAGCGTCCCCCCTGCAAGGATAAGGACATTAGTGGATCACTTTAACAGAGCAAATATCTTTGCTTTAACAAGATCAATGTTGCTACGGTTACCGTCTATTGATGATAAGCATAACCCTGAAAACGTAAGAGCAAAATCAAGTTACGAGATTGAAAAACCTTCTCTAAACGATGCATTCAAACGCTGCAACATACGCAGACATCAAAAATGGCAGTAAGGCAACTCTTAATTGTCTGTAAAAGTCACGTTTTGTAAAAGAAAATGTCTTGTTCACTATTTAAGATCCCCTTTCATATCTTAAAAAAAATTCCCGGATTAATTCAATTTTCCATGAATCTACGTTAATGAGGAGATCGAAAACCACCGACATAATAGAACAAGAATCGCTCTACAGTAGCTTTCACTTAAAGATTACGTGATGAATTCAATGTTCATCTGCCCAGGTGGACACTTGAGTTTTGTAAATACAAGACAACAATATAACTAGAAACAATAGCCGCCATTTACGCTAAAAGACAGACATCTGATGCTAAAGATTACTACTGCTTGTTGAATGAAAAGAAAGTGCAATCACGGCTAGTTTTTGTTATCGTTCATCTTAAGTAATAACTTTGCCACACTAAATAGCTAGTGTTTCATTGTCAATCTACCGTGTACACTTGAAACTGAACGATTACACTTCAAAGGACATACACGAATGGTAGCCAATTTTGAATACTAATGGCCAAAATATTTTCTGGGAAAAATTGCTTTAGATATATGACGAAGCTCGAGATCAACTGATTAATTCAAACAAAAATAATTTTCTTGGAAGCAATAGATCCAAAAAAAAATTCCTTCCTAATTGTTTGATAGAAATTCAAATTTTCACTGACTTGTTTTGTTCTTTGTCGACAATCTAAAAATGGGTTGAAATGCACGAGTTGTTTCTGGTCTAAGTGCTTAAGAAATCAGTCTAATCTTTTTGAACAGTATTTAGCACAAATCACAAGGCTTTCGTGCCTGACAAACATTAAATTGCAACTTGTTATATCTATGAGACGCAAGAAACTTACTTAATACCTTAAACAGATAATTATCTGTAGAAAACCATAATACAGTGGAAGCCCGTTAATACGACCACCTCCGGGCCATGGAAAATTGGTCTTACTAACGGGGTGGTCGTATTAAATAATAAAATGACTGTCTGAGCTTTTTTTTCGGACCAGAATAAAGTGGCCGTAATAACGAGGTGGTCGTATTAACGGGGTGGTCGTAAGGCGGGGTTCCACTGTAATATCACTTAAATGATATAAAAACTATTAAGGACTCGAAAGGCAAAAAGTTTTAAAGCATGCTAAGTCGCACTCACTACTGAAATTCGTGGGAAGAAAAAGAAACAAATGTTGTTTTCCAACTCTAGTAAATAAGTGACCATTGTTCATACAATGACATGGAAGTGATCCTGTACAGTTTAAAGCGTTTTGTACTGATAAATTCACGGCGATACTATTTTTAATACTGACTTTTCTGGCTCAAACCTTCTCCCAAAAAATAGACAAAAGATTGTGAAAGGACCGCTTTTGAAAGAGCATAATATTCTTTAATATATTCCGTTTACAATAGGATTGAAAATGTCACAAACTGCCTTTTAATTAGGCCCTGTCCACGCTACGCCGGAGGAATTTGAAAACGGAGGTTTCACTCTGAAAACGCATCAAATGTTTTCCGCCCACACTACGCTGGTGGGGGCATTTGGAAACGGCGTGTTCACTTTGAAAACGCATCAAATGTTTTCCGTCCACACTACGCCGGAGGAATTTAAAAACGCAACAATCACCGGTCATTTTGAATTTGTGTTTGAGGAANTTATTATTATCTCTTTAGTGTTTTTCTATCTTCGTAAACTACTATTTTCAGGTTTCCTTCAATTTAAAAGTAATTTTTTACGTGGCCAAAATAACTCAAAATGCCGTGACTGAACTCCTTTAACAAACAAAAAAACAAACACTCACTGAATCGGCGATGTTCGCGTCGACGCGAGTTGTTTGAAGAAATTTGATCATTGCCTCATCTCCTTCATAAGCAGCGATGTGTAGGGCCGTCTGTCCCTCCGCCTGTTCAGGAAATAACAGATCCAAGATAAAGCTAATTAAGACGCTTATTGGCTAAAATTGCAAACAAGACAAGGCAGTTTTTGAAGTTACGTTTTGCACATCGACGGGACAGCCAAATTCGACAAGAAACTTTGCAATGTCAACGTCTTTCTTTCGTACAGCGGCGTGTAACACGGTGTCTCCGCTGGCCTGAAAGAGATCATTAAAAGATTTGTATAAGTAATCGTAGAAGAATAAAACTAAACTAAGCACGTAGTAACAAAACTAAGCCTCGCATATGGAGACGCTGGTTTCATTATGGAACTAGTGTGGAGTTCGGGACCAAACCGCAGTAAGAGTCGGGCCATAGAAATTTACTCTGCTTTCCAAGTGAACGGAAGAGAGCTTACTCTTATACGACATAAAATCTTTCTTTTGGACGTAAATACTTTTTCCTCACACGAGCTGGCGTTTTCTGTTGTCCTTTTCTGTAGTCTGTACTACAAAGAGATCAAATACCTTTGAAAAAAAGCCCTTAATTTTACCAACTCTTGTTAATCTTTGAAAAGGCTAGCCTCTGCTTACTCTCCACTCGCGCTCTGGCGCTCGCCATTTTTCTTTGCTCTATATCCCATCAGCAGGTCTTATTAAAGGTTGGCTCTTACAATCTAATTACTCGACCTTCTAGTTTATAAGAAGATTAAACAAAAAAAAAAACTCTCAACAAGGAAGGCAAACGCGACAGGACACGGAATTCAGAACAGGATTTTATTTCAACTTCCGTTGCTCCGTTCTGGGCTTCCCTGAAATAAGTACCTACCCCTCGGGTGATCTTGACTTGTTGTTCAGCTTGGGAACCAAGCAGCTCTTTCACGACTTGTTGGTTTCCTGCCACGATCGCGAGGTACAGTGGGATAGATCCACTCTGGAATTACAAATAACAGTTTGTTGCCTTCGTAAAACCCTCATACCTATTGCTGTACTACCCACAAGCGCTTGCAAGTTGTGAGAAAAGCAGTGACTACATGGTCGAGAAACTTCGCTCCGATCAAGTTCTTGGTGATAAATATCCTAAGCCACTTTAAGCGATCACTTTCGAATTGCGGTCTTCTAAATTAACTTTGCAGATCACAGTGCTCAGTTTCTAAACCCTACCTTTCTACTTTAATTTTGAACAAAAAGGAACTTCAACTTACTGAACTCGACTTAAAGGGACACCGCCACCATTTTTAGCATGATTTTGGAAATCTCATATAAAAAACATATATCGATCATTGGAAGCTGAACAATAATGGTTTTATTCTGTAGAGCAGTACTCGACAAATGATTAGGACCCATTAGGAAGTGAGGATGGCTAACGATGGCGAGGATGGAAACGGATTGTGATATGGATTTTTGAAAAAGCGTCAGGATGTCAGTTTTTTAAAGGTTCAAGTTTGGCTCGAAAACCGTTGAAATTTTGCAAAAATGTTGCCGTAGTGTGGGACTTTCTTTAAAAAATTGCTTTTAATCATTTAGTTAGAGCTAATTGGGGACCATGTCGTGGATTTATAACAGTTTTAAGCAAATATATCGTGACAGTGTCCCTTTAAGGTGTAGGGCCTGATAGCACATTTGCGGCATTTCACTCGAGCTCGGTCGACAAATAATTTGAGGTAAAAGATGACCAAGAACGCCAAAGATACGTCAGTACACTGCACAGTTTGGACATAAAAGTGCTTATTATGTTCTCCTTTTTTTCCTTTAGATTCTTGGATTACTTATTCATCGACTTTCGGATTATCAGACTCACTTTTAACCTCCTTTAATTAAAATTGGCGTGATGTGTGGAGGGGAACAAGCACTCGTTGCAAAATGATGCCTGTCTCTGAGTAGTAATCGAGTCAGCGGTTTTCGTCATTTACTTTGCTAGGCAACTTGAGGTCCACTTCTAGAGTGACAGTTTTCGGAGCATTCGTGGGTTTTCGCTCTAGTTCTCAATTGAATAAGGAAAGTTTTCCAGTTCTTCAACAAAGATTTTCAAAATACGACACTTGTTTACAAGAATGAGTCAATTTTTTTTACTCACTTTGTCACTTGTGAGTTTGGCATCCTTCCCAGACGCTTTTAGGAGCGTTTTGACAATCTCCACGGCGCCAGAGGGGCGGCTGCAGGCCATGTGCAGCGGCAGCTGCTCTTCAGGCTGAAAAGCAAGTTGAGATTCGAACATCAACATAGTTCCTCATCCCAAGAATATCCATGACGAAGTCACTCTACAAAGATCTGTGTTGTGTTCTGGTTGGTTGTCGCTTGGCGGGTTTCCAATTTTCGCGCGCAAATGACAAGTAATAAGTGACATTGCACGCATTTTTTCAGGGTTACGTCGTAAATATGAAAGAATAATGTCTGTTTATACGTTCAAAATAACGAGCATAACTTCGAAAAGTCAAAACCAGAAAGACATAATTTATTGATAGAACCCTAAAAGTCAGAGCAAAAGAGAACTTCACTCGACTTTAGATGCAGACCACCTGCCAACATTTTAGGGGAGGGGTGGGATTATTATATTTGTTTTCTTTTCACATCCTTACCCCTGCTGTGAGACTCGCATCCGCCTTTTTCGAGAGAAGAAGTTTGACGATTCCGTCTGAACCAGAGGAAGAGGCATAGTGTAAAGCTGAGCGTCCCCCCTGCAAGGATAAGGACATTAGTGGATCACTTTAACAGAGCAAATATCTTTGCTTTAACAAGATCAATGTTGCTACGGTTACCGTCTATTGATGATAAGCATAACCCTGAAAACGTAAGAGCAAAATCAAGTTACGAGATTGAAAAACCTTCTCTAAACGATGCATTCAAACGCTGCAACATACGCAGACATCAAAAATGGCAGTAAGGCAACTCTTAATTGTCTGTAAAAGTCACGTTTTGTAAAAGAAAATGTCTTGTTCACTATTTAAGATCCCCTTTCATATCTTAAAAAAAATTCCCGGATTAATTCAATTTTCCATGAATCTACGTTAATGAGGAGATCGAAAACCACCGACATAATAGAACAAGAATCGCTCTACAGTAGCTTTCACTTAAAGATTACGTGATGAATTCAATGTTCATCTGCCCAGGTGGACACTTGAGTTTTGTAAATACAAGACAACAATATAACTAGAAACAATAGCCGCCATTTACGCTAAAAGACAGACATCTGATGCTAAAGATTACTACTGCTTGTTGAATGAAAAGAAAGTGCAATCACGGCTAGTTTTTGTTATCGTTCATCTTAAGTAATAACTTTGCCACACTAAATAGCTAGTGTTTCATTGTCAATCTACCGTGTACACTTGAAACTGAACGATTACACTTCAAAGGACATACACGAATGGTAGCCAATTTTGAATACTAATGGCCAAAATATTTTCTGGGAAAAATTGCTTTAGATATATGACGAAGCTCGAGATCAACTGATTAATTCAAACAAAAATAATTTTCTTGGAAGCAATAGATCCAAAAAAAAATTCCTTCCTAATTGTTTGATAGAAATTCAAATTTTCACTGACTTGTTTTGTTCTTTGTCGACAATCTAAAAATGGGTTGAAATGCACGAGTTGTTTCTGGTCTAAGTGCTTAAGAAATCAGTCTAATCTTTTTGAACAGTATTTAGCACAAATCACAAGGCTTTCGTGCCTGACAAACATTAAATTGCAACTTGTTATATCTATGAGACGCAAGAAACTTACTTAATACCTTAAACAGATAATTATCTGTAGAAAACCATAATACAGTGGAAGCCCGTTAATACGACCACCTCCGGGCCATGGAAAATTGGTCTTACTAACGGGGTGGTCGTATTAAATAATAAAATGACTGTCTGAGCTTTTTTTTCGGACCAGAATAAAGTGGCCGTAATAACGAGGTGGTCGTATTAACGGGGTGGTCGTAAGGCGGGGTTCCACTGTAATATCACTTAAATGATATAAAAACTATTAAGGACTCGAAAGGCAAAAAGTTTTAAAGCATGCTAAGTCGCACTCACTACTGAAATTCGTGGGAAGAAAAAGAAACAAATGTTGTTTTCCAACTCTAGTAAATAAGTGACCATTGTTCATACAATGACATGGAAGTGATCCTGTACAGTTTAAAGCGTTTTGTACTGATAAATTCACGGCGATACTATTTTTAATACTGACTTTTCTGGCTCAAACCTTCTCCCAAAAAATAGACAAAAGATTGTGAAAGGACCGCTTTTGAAAGAGCATAATATTCTTTAATATATTCCGTTTACAATAGGATTGAAAATGTCACAAACTGCCTTTTAATTAGGCCCTGTCCACGCTACGCCGGAGGAATTTGAAAACGGAGGTTTCACTCTGAAAACGCATCAAATGTTTTCCGCCCACACTACGCTGGTGGGGGCATTTGGAAACGGCGTGTTCACTTTGAAAACGCATCAAATGTTTTCCGTCCACACTACGCCGGAGGAATTTAAAAACGCAACAATCACCGGTCATTTTGAATTTGTGTTTGAGGAAATCTCGGTCGGGGAATTCACATGATTATCGGGACGCCATGGTTTTCGAAAAGCTCCGTTTTTAAAATGTTTCCCGCCCACACGAAAACGAATAGCCGGCGTTTTCAAATTCCTCCGGTTTGCGGAGCGTTTTCGAAATGCTCCGTTTTCGTGACGGATTAGTGTGGACGGTAGACCTAACCGTAGAAATAAAAGTCGCGTTTTCAAATTTCTCTGGCGTAGTGTGTGGACGGGGTCTTAATTGCGACTAGAGAATGTAAATATCATGGTGGATTTGTCAAGTAAAACGCGGGATGAATCTCAGGCTATTTTTAGTTGATGAATCAAAACTGTGAACAACATCTGTCTTATAAAGCGATTCTTTCTGTTCTCACGTCATTTTGTATGCATTGCGAAAACTTAAAATGTCGGAAGACAATTCAACATAATAAATAACTTCTTTTGACCTGAAATATAAACATTTTGAACAAAAATGTCTACTTCCGTCCTCAGTTATTGTTTATTATAATCAATCTTTTTGGTAAAAGTTAAAAATGTAAGGCGAAGCAAAGATTAAGTCAAGTAAATCTTGTCAGTCAGCGAAAGTTCACTTTTTTTCGTAAATTTCAGGTAGCCTGGATAAAGGCAATTCGGAAATTGTGCTGTAAGATTCGTTTTTGTTCAATTCCACTCAAAAGTAATTAACTTTTTATCGTGGCATATGTTTGCAATACAAATACCAATCATTTTAGGGTGAAATATAGCGCGGAAATCTAACCCAGCCAGGATTAAAGATGTAGAGATTACTAACGTAAGTTATAATTTCAATTACAAGTGATTTTCAACATGAAAGTACTGTTCAAAAATCTAGAACTCACGGAAGCCAAACATAATTTACTTGAAGTACCATCTTGAGACGTTTCAACATCGGAAAGAAAATCCCTCGAATGAAGTCCGACTTTAGAGAAATAACCTTTTTGTTTACTTTAAAGTATTTCATTTAGTCTCAATTTCAGTTGATAAACAGAAAAGAGTAGATTACGGGTCAACAAGTGATTATAACCCTTACTTTCATTGGCTAGTGATTTTATTTTCATTTCCAAACGGCAAACATGAGTGAATAATTTGTAGCACATGTGTCTGATACGTTTCAGCCGACAATTCTAAGTGTCAACAATTTCAATTTTTCAAAAGGCGGAGAGATCTGTTTGTCGGTAGAAAATGTAACTTTAAAACGCTTTAGAAAACGATAAACTCAATACAAACAGTGCACGTTACAAGAAAACTCGAAACGAACTTGAAGGAAATAACATTCAAAAGCGTTTCTTCAGTAATAAAAGACCAATTGAAAGTTCTATGAAAACCCACGCTTTAAAACGGAATTTTTTTTGTCGTATTTGAAGGACAATTGGAAAAAACCAAATTCAGAAACGTTTCACTGCATTTTGCACAAGAAAAAGGGAATAGGAGAATTAGTTTTATGTCGAAAGCTACAATTCAGAATTTTTTATTTTTAATGTTATTTATATCTGTGGAAAATATTGGTGTGATAGCAAATTAGAGGCGACTCTACATAACCTAGAATTTATGTATTTAAGAAGAGGAAAAAACTGACCGAACAAAGAAAACTTGCATGTATTAAACTAAATATGTTTTCAAAATTACAATATTGTTCACGTACTCGAAGAAAAATAAATCCACGTTTCCTGAAATATTTTTTTAGAAGATATTGTGCAAAGAATTACACCAATATTTATCAAATGGTATGAGTTTTCTCTGTCAAAACAACAGCGTTGAAAAGCACCTCGTAACACAAATGTATCGTTATTGAAGCTCAACACGTCCGCAGCCACTGCTGCCAAAAAGTCAGGTGATAGACTTGTGCGAAAGGTAGTTACTGAAGACTGGCTGTAATCGTTACTGTCGCAACCAAAAAGGTTTATTGATCGTAGGGACTCTGAGGAAAGCAGCCTTAAGAGATGAACAGTCGAGTTTATAACCACCGGCTGACAATTTCTTCACAACTTGTCTCCCCTCTAAGACTTTTTTGTTCGCGGAAACCGATCTTCTAAAACATTGCTTGCACAAAAAGGATCGAAAGCGACGAAATTCGCTTCGACGCAAATAAATTTGCAGTGCAAATATTTTACGAGCAAAAAAATAGGCCGCATAGTGAGCTCAATTATACACTGCAGATTAAACATTAATGGAACATTAATATTTGATCCTAAAGTTTGAAATCAAGGGCCGGTTGAAATTGCGGTTTACCGCTCTTTTAAATTATAGTTATATTATAGTTTAAAAACTATAATTTCAAATATCTGCCTATATCTGCGTTCTTTTCAAACAGAAAATTTGAACGCGCTTGTTCGGGGAATCTTAAAAGTCGTCCTGAGATTTCAAGCCAGCTGAAATCTTTGACTTGCCGTCAGCTGTGTTGATGCAAGAAATTCAATTTTGGCGTTCTTTTCTGCAAGAATATCGCAAAACAAAAGGCATCGAACAAACAAGAGCTTTGCTATTATCATTTGCGTTAGCCGAAACTCAAAAGGACGATCGAATTGATTCGCGAAAAAAAAAGGTCTCAACTCAACAACCCAATTTTTTTTTCCGTTTTGTGATTTAGCATAGTTTTATCAAAACCTACTCTACCTCTTCGATTAGTTCAATTTAAACTCAAAATACACATAAAATTCTGTATGCTGTTGCCGTTTAGATAGTAATTTGCTAGAACATCAAATAAATAACCGAGGTTGCACGCTCTGTCGTCGTACCAACGTAACGAAGTGACCATAAAGATCTTCACCAATTCTAGAAATGTGCCTACTGAAAATTACAGTCTTGGAAACAGGCTACGTATATTTTGTCAATCCCAGCTCTCTACTAATTAGGCTATGGGCTAGGGAAGTCAGCTCATTTGATATGGCAACGCTGACAAAATGGCAAACAAATAATTTGATGTCGATCTTGTGTAATTAAAAAATGGTTTCGAAAAACAGTGCCGAATTAGCGACCACAGTGTATCTAGTGAAACAAACTGCGTACTTACCTTATCTCGGTCGGTAACTACAGCGCCAAGCTCAAGAAGTTTTTCGACGATGTTGTGTTTATTGTCCCGGGCCGCTAACATCAACGGAGTTAAACCGTTGTCCTGTAAAAAAATAAGAAGTAGATAGAAAGAAGTTCCGTGAGTGAGAGTACGAAAATTGGTCATTGTAAAGAGCAAGTAAACAGAGCGAAAAAAACACACCTTCGGGGTTTTAGAAGCCATGTTAAAAATGGTACTAAAAATATTCTGGCCAACCAAGACACCGCTCTGTAATGCGAATTAAGCTCTGCGTATTGAGGGGACCTCTGAATGGGGCTTAACAGTGTGCGCAATGAATTCAATATTTATTATTTCGACTACTTTGTCCTTTTAATCGAGACGTCGAACCGACGAAATTAAAAAGCTGTTACACTTTGTGACTAGCGCGTGTCGCTGTCTTGGTTCCGAGGAAAAACGCCAAACGCGCGCGATTAAACTTTGCAAAACATCTCGGCGAGCAAGAGTTTTCAGCGATCAACGCGACACAAAATTTCGAGAGTGTTTAATTCGTGGCAAATCGCAAAGAACAGTTACTGGAAGCCTACGAGCAACAAAAGACCAAAGAATTGCCACAAGGGCGTTTTGGGCGGTGAAACGAAAGAGAGAAGGATATTATTATTACAAGTGATAACGCCATGCAATTGAAATCCCATTTCAATTATGAATCTGACCAGACAAGAGAAAATTAAAACGAGTTCCTAAGCCTTAATAACTAGCAACGGATCATCTCTCAGCGTATAATTAGTATTGTTAGGTAACTTAAGGTCTCTTATAATAATATTGCTCCTGTCACGAAAATATCAACTGCGAGGCCTTGCGCGTATGACCGAAAGGTAGTTATAGTTAAGGGGAAAGAAATGGCTCCATATCAGGATCGTGGAGAGATTTTCGCAGTTCGATTACAGAGGTTTGACAGCCTAGATTCGTGCTGGGCTTTAACTAACAAGCGATTTAAATTATCAAATGGATTCTTTACATTCTGGAAGTATCGATCATTTACTTCCATCTCGGCCGACGATATTTCCATGTTGTTTCGTCCCAGGCTGTTGAGATGTTGGTCAACTGCCGGCCAATCTCCCTTTACAGACAGCGCCAGAACGCGGTTTAAAATTTCCCATCGCAGAATTGACGGAGGAGTCTTGGTATCAAAGAGCACCCTGGAGCCTCTGCGGGGCTGCAACTGTGTCACTGCCGCATCCGACCCTGGACTTGGCGGTCGAAGCGAGGGACGTCGGCTGGAAGGATTCGACCCCGGTCCACCATTAGGCATCATGGAAGCGATGCACAAATTAAATCAGTTCTTCACCACATAAATTCTTGGTCTTTTTTCCTTTAAAACCACATTCACATTCCCTTGAGTTTCTTTTCTTTCCAACGCCTTGCTTCACGTTTTTGTTTCAGTGTAGAATTATTTCTCCGCGACATTCCGTCACGCCGAAGGTCGATTTGTAGTTGCGCATTTTATGGCTATGATAATAATTACAAGATCGTTTCCCTTGTAACAATTATAGGTTCGAATGAGTGGAGAGGAATTGCGCATGCGTGTATATGCTTTGTTTTGAAATGCGAGAAGCGACTTTTAGAATTTCGCACCCATTTCTTACCTGGAAAAAAATGGCGGAATATTTGCGATATCTGAGGTAATTGACACAAAAAGGAAACTTTGAAACTACTTAGGACTTTCATTTTTTATTGAAATTAATATTTTACCTGAGGTAGTGGTTGAGCTATCAAAGAAAACGGTATATTTATGTTTAATTTTTGTAAGTTTTCGATTCATTTGCATAAGAATGGTATGCGCAAAGCACTCTGACATCTCCGATCGTTTGAAGATTGTCAGGCTTTGTGCAAACAGAAAGATAAGAGTGCGTGGTTGGTTTCATTGTGTCCTGCTTTTCGTACGAACAGGTGGTCAAACTTAAGGTGTGAAATAAAGTGCGCTTTAATGAGCAGCACATGATTTATTCATTAGATCGAAAAAGGAAGAACTTCTCAAAATCACTTGAATTTTGTTAGAATTTCGACGAAGGATCCGATCGTTCGTTGCTAATTTTTTTCAGTACATCTCTCTTGTCCAAGTATGGCGCTATGTTGCAAATACATATTCATTGTTTCGAATCCTAGATTAGAGAAAACAGACACGAGCAAATTATGAATTCTAAGCAGAAGAGCATACAGTCCATTTCGAGCGGGGTAAATAAACCCAGGTTTGCTTAGTCTGCCAGGGATCAAGAGGAAATAATAACTGCCAGGGATGTGCATGTTAAGGAGCGATGTAGTGACGCAGAGCTCAGCAATATCAAGGCCTTCTCGTGGCAAACGAAATAATCTATCGAGAGGTGATTCCTTCTTGAAGACCAGAGGACACCTGTCAGCGGACGTTGTCAACCATACGACATATAGCCTTGAAAAACTAACACCACATTCTCTCGGAACTAACATTACAAGACTGAATGTATGGCAACCATATGGAAAATTAAAAGCGAAACTAGGTGTACGGCCTTGAGACTTTTGATTGCATCAAAACAGAACCTAAAGCCGCCGCTAGTTAACTGACTTGCGCAAGACATTTTTAAATTCGAAAAAGAACACGGACATTCAATATGCTTGATACTTATAGCAAACACATTCTTTTACGTGTATCGGGCTAGCAAAACAATTTAAAAGAACGAAAGTTTCGTTATATTTGTTCACTCGGGCAAAATACTTTCGATCACCATTTCCGCAAAGTTTCTCACACGATGTTAAAACTTCCTGTGAACTAAAGCTATTGTTCATTGATTTCTTTAGACCATCACAAGTACCCCTGCAAAAATTAAGGACGTGGATTAAGAGGCATAAACGATAATTGTTGACCACAACAAAGAGGAGAAGATCAAAAAATTCGCGCCGAGAGAAATGAAAATTGTTTTTTTCCCTTATGCTGTCAGTTTCATGTATATGATACCACACGTTGATTAAGCTCGGGTTGATATCAGCACAAACAGTCCCATCTGTTCTGATGCTAATTTTCTCCGGAAGTTTTAACGTTCTGACTTTTTCATCAAATGAACGAATTACCAACAATTTCACGTTTACGAATGATAAATTCAGGCTCAATTTCCATCGCTCTCTGGGGCCTGTCTAAGTTCCTCCTCGACAGAGGAGCGCGGACTCACTTCCCGAACAGCGGCCAATAATGGAGTCTAAGATATCAGTGGAGTGTGTGCAGGTGACGTCATCAAATTCTCAAAACCAAAACTAAAGAGCCACTAAAGGTTTTATCCTCATCAGGCATAAGAGGTACTAAATTTATATCTGTTTACAACTTTCCAGCTCAATAGCGTCCTTCGTTTGGAAACCAGCGCATTTTGAATTTCGGAATTATGGCGGTACGTGACATAAGGCTAAGATCGCGTTTGTCGAAAAATATACACTCATCTCGTCATTTTTAGCCATTTTAGGGGTTAAAGTATTAGGAAAAGTGCTTGGGTAAATATTTTATGGTTCGGTTCAGATAATCAGTCGAGGAGATCCACCAACATGGTGGCTCCATACTGGGCTCCATAATTTTGCGCGGAACATTTCGACGAATATCTCAACGTTGGGACAACGCAAACACCTTAAACTTGGAGAACTGTCTTCTTTATTTATCGTCTATAATATCACAATTTCTTGACATTATCCGCTGAATGGTTTTTGATCTTATTTTTTATTGCGTGACAATGAACACGCTTCATATTTTGAGATAACAAAATACATATAGTACAGTTAAAAGATTAATTGGGAATGACCGTCAATTGAAACGGATTACGAAAATTGAATTGAAAATGCGCCAATCGCCGAACGTTGCTTCTCCAAATTCCCAATGGTGTACGAGAGAGAATCTGTCACGACAAGAATGATCATCGCAGTTATTCATGTACACAACTAAGCAGTTGTGAAAAAAAGCGCCTGATTCCAAACTATGACTCTACCATATTGGTGCAAACTAGGAGCTGGTCACGTTGCAAGTTCGTAAAATACCCGTAGGTGAAGAGGTAAAGTCTGCATACCAGCCAAGTGGCCTATCAGGCCGGATGTTATCCCGGTTTCTGAAGCATGAAGCGACTAGGAGTGTTCCTAACCCCCCTGGATGAGATGCTAGTTCAATGTAGGGTTACTCCCAGCATTAAGTTATTCGGTGCACATCAGTTTAAACACCTGGGTGGAGAGAGGTACTGTGAGAGTAAAGTGTCTTGCCCAAGAACTCAACGCAGGCTCGAACCCGGACGGCTCAATCCGGAGACGAGCGCACTAAACATGAGGCCACTGCGCCTCCCACAGTGTACCGGTAGATAGAGACAAATGTAAGAGAATATTTGAAAGAGAGAGAATCTGTTTGATTCTCCAAAAGCTTCAAAACATATGGTAACCGTGGTAGCCACCTGTACATCTGCGTTATTGGCAAAAACCTAGCCTCTTCCAGGCGTTCAGTTAGTTGGCGCGCAGCGTGAAAAACAGCGCGCGAAAAAATAAAAAACGCGCGGCGAAAGGAAGCGAAGGGCCTTTGTTAAGTTTGCCCACAGACGTTCTTTCGCTTCCTCTCGCCGCGCTTTTTTTTATTTTTTCGCGCGTTGTTTTTCGCGTTGCACCCCAACTAACTAACGCCTTAGAGAGGCTAAGAAAAACCCAGATGTGCGAGCCACCAGAGGTTTGTGAGTTAAGTCAAGTTTTACGATAACTGCAGGAATTCTCGCATGTTCATTGGCTAATTTTTATTATCAATAAACGGACACAGGAATTTATAATTTATGCGATGCGTCAACGAGCGAGAGAGGACAATTTGACAATTTGTTATTGTAAAAACAAACTGAAGTCAGTTTTCATAACATTGTCAAAGTAGTCTGCGGATCCACTCGGTCATCGCCTCGGGGATCCACAGCTACTTTGACAATGTTATGACGAAATTCATAATCAAAAGCAGGACAGACGCATGAAAAACTGACGTCCATTTGTTAAATTTAGAAGGGCAACAGACATGCCTACGACAACAAGAAGCTCTTTTGCAGAAAATGACAGTTTAGGATTGGTAAACGAAAGATTGGAGCATGTCTATCGAGACTATCATCATAAATACAAGTGAAATGGGGACATCGGTGACACACTGATCCCCGGCGTCCTTCTAAGGAGAGAGTTCTACCGGCGTATCGACATTTTGTGTGTTCTGTGTTCTTTGTGATTAAGATGACTGATTTCACTGTAATAAGTCCTTCTCCAAATGGGAGACAAAATCCGTGGCTACAAGCGTGGTTTTTCCTTTCTCCAGTTGTCTGAGCGAGAGTCCGATTACGTTGAACGATAAACGAAGGAAATAGCGCAACGGTCCCAACACCTATCGTCACAATGGAACTTCACAATTTTGTTCCTTTTAACAAAGCTTGCAACTCCACAATATGCTCAATCAAAACAAGCCATAAACGACTTGAAATAATATAAAATAAAACTATACATACAAGGTAAACAACTAAACTGAGCCGTGCATGGAATATATAAGAATTGTACAAAAACTAACTGAAGCAAAATAACAGTGAACGCAACGGCCAGACGTCTCAAAAAAATATCTGTGGACTTTCTTAATTAATAATCCTATCCATTTGCCATTCTACCTCGTGAGATTAACGATTTTCAATTAAGAACATCAACATATGGGTTAGTAACGAAGATTGTGTAAACATAACGCGTCAAGAGGTATAAACCAACTAACAACATAGACAGCAAATATGTAACCTACTTCATTGCATAACAAATATATCTCGCCGAGGTAATCCGTATCGCTTATCCAGCCTCCGTGCAGACGACCCCTTGGCGAACGAACTCGACTTGTGGGTGATTCAGGGACTTCCATCTGTTTATCAACACGTTTTTCTAGCCCTGGGTCTCAAAATCTTCAGTTGGCACCAGTGTGAAATTATATTTTAAGAGGATCATAGCCGTGAAAGGCAATCGTGTTTTGCTCCATCACGAAATATCAAATGAAACAGGCCATAAACACATTGTTGCCGGACCAATACTCGGGGTTAATAACATCATTGTCAGAGAAGTGACGACAAAGTTTCTCTGGAGCGCTCGAGCGAGTCCTAAAGTGATTGAAAACTGTCCAGTATGATTTTGGTCTGAGTGCCAACAAAAACGCCAGGAACAAAAGCTTTGTCAGTCAGAAAGTCAACACAATGCAGTAATGTTCATAAAAGCTTTCCAAATCCACTACACACAATTGTCGCTAATAGCATCGAGAAAAGGTGTTTAGCAATGAAAAAGAAGAATGTAATAAATGAACGCACTTAAAACCACGAGAGTAGAGTAAGAAAGTGTTATAATCACTTCGGTTAAAAGAAAATTAACATTTCTGTGCCGTAAAAATGATCATCAGTGCAATCACTGAAAACGAAACTGTAAGTTCTTCGTTTTTAAACGTGAACGAATTAAATGTAAGTTCTTCTTCCAGTACTGATATAAAGGCAAGAGGGTCAGCAATGAAAATACAGAGAACCGTTAGCTCAGTATAAGAAACATTATCGAGAAAGATGTTATATAGTTATTGACACAAACAATATAGGGAGCACTATTGTTTTGATAAAAGACGAATTTCTCATAATTAACAATAAAAGAAGCCGTATTGCCGTTAGTAAGAAGAATAAGTATTTTTATTTTGCGATTGAAAGAGGTGAGCCGACGTGAAGTAAGTATAATAATCAACATTTCAATCTGTTCAGAGGCGTCTGACTTCATTGAACACATGAAACATCATCTCACGCAAGACGAACTGCACGATTTTAACCACGAGAAATCTATGTACAAATTCGCCCGGGTAATGAGAAAAGTTTATTTGTTTTATCTCGGCGTTTTGTGCTCTGCATTAAAAAAGCCCTATAGGCCATTCCGAAATTGCGCGGGGAACTGGGGTGAGTTTCAAATTTTAACCAATCGATAAACTGATCGCGTTGAGATTAGTCATTTAAACAGGTTTGATACTTTTAGGGTGAACAGAGACAAGTTATAGACATGGAAACGTGGTTCAAAATCCATACAAATGTCTCTAATGTTGAGACAGCGTCCCCCAAAACCATATAAACTCTTAAAATTTTTATGATTTCTGTGATACCCTGAAAAATGGGCAAACATACGAGATTTTCATCTCAGATTCTTTCACATGGTAGCTGAATGACGGGATTTTACCGTTGTCACAAAACTGATAAAACATTTTAAGAGTTTATATGGTTTTGGGGACGCTGTCTCAACGTTAGAGACGTTTGAACCATGTTTCAAGGTCTATAGCTTGGTCTCTGTTTACCCTAAAAGCATCAAACTTGGTCAAATGACTAATCTAAACGTGATCTTTCATGTGGTGGTGTCAGTTTGTCGATTGGTTAAATTTCGGCCTCAATGGCCCATAGAGCTTTGTTAATGCAGAGTATAAAACGCCGAGATAAAACAAGTAAACTTTTCTCATTATCCAGGCGAATTTACACATAGGTTTCTCGCGATTAATATCATGCAGTTCGTTTTCCGTGCGACGATGTTTCGTGTATTCAATGACGTCAGACGCCTCAGAACAGATTGAAATGTTGATTATTTCAGGTGTCACGAGAATCAAAAGAAAGTGAAAAGGCTATTCATTGTAGCAGATAAGAGAAGTGACAATTGCTGAATGAACGAACGATGAAAACATCTCGAGCAAACCGATGAAAAAAAAGTTTTCACGTCTCGTCTGTTATCCTTCAACTTTGACCGGAATTAAATGCAGTGTCAATTCGATTCTCTTCCGTATCATTTCTTCATTTCATTCTTGAAAGAACCCATTCGATCATTTCAATCATTTTCAAGTTCGACCTTCACAATCCTTCTCAGTCTTCCCCAAGTTTAACCATCGATTCTTGTCCCATTTGATCTTTTCCTGCCTAAATAAATAATTGTATAGGGCTTTCTTCAACTTGAAAGGTAATTTTGTACATCGTAAAAGAATTCCAATTTTCCAAAAGCCGGTTTTGAAAATACACGACCAATCTTTCGGCACAAAACAAGAGGAGAAAACATGGAAACGACGAAACAGGCGTTCCTATCATGACGTCACGATCCGACTATTCCCAGGTCTCCTGTTTCGAGATATTTGACTCCGCCGGAAGAGAAATTTCTTGAGCGTGGTGCAGAACAGTCGATATTGAGTTTGTTTTTGTTTTTACACCAAGAATCCATGAAGGTAACAAAAATCCGTCATGGGTACTTTTAACAGTGATTTGTGGGACCTTTCACTTAAATGGCGGCAT